GGTAATATTATTGTTAGATATGCAGTGGATTTCACAATCTGCGTGGATCTGTTCGGTTCCTGCTGCGTATACCAGGTGGTGATTTGCAGAACGATAAAACAGTTGGTCGAGGGTACGGATACGGTTACCCTTGAGGGAGACCCACCCTTAAGAGCATATGTATTAATGCTGCTTATTCCGTGCATAGTGATTTGTATGATCACCTCACTGAAATATCTCGCACCATTTTCAATCGTCGCTGATATATTTCTACGTAAGTTATTATTAATGTTATTATATATACTAATATTATAAAGAGAAGATTTGTATTTTTGTATGTATTGAAATAACTCAAAAACTACTTGGCCAATTTTTATAATTCTTTCACCGTTAGAAAGGTAATTTATCTGCGAGTAACAGAGGCTGCATTTTTTCTTATTTTTTTAGTTCACGCGGGCGAAGTCACGAGAAACAGCTAGTAATTTATATTTATAGGTTCGACTAGCTGCGATGCAAAATTTAATCCACCTTAAAAACGACTGTAGTTAACAGTCTCTTTCTGTCATGTTTATTTGTCGTAATGTCTCTTTCTTGCAAAATTTTGAAGCTGGCGCACATTTGACTTAACTATCGCACAACTTTTTGCAATTGTCAATTGTTTCGCAGCCTCAACTGTTTAGTTGCAAAACTAAAATCGAGAATGCGAGACTAAACCGTTGTTCGATAGTTTAGTCAGTGTGTGCGCGCTCTTATGATTGCTAAACATTTTGAAGTTTGTTGAAGTTTTCTTTTTCATTGTAGTTTTTAAAATGTTATTTTGTTTCAGTTATTCTGGCCGGAGCTACAATTTACTATGGTTGTAAATTTTCTAAAGTGGGTATATTTGAAATGCCGATTTTTAAAGGCTTGCCCGGTTTGCTGGAGTTCCTGGGGGTGTGTGTGTTTAGTATGGAAGGGGTGGGGGTGACTATGGCCATAGAGAATAACATGAAGGAACCCAAGAAGATTGGAAGAGTGCTTTTATTCGGTAAGTTGTAATAAAATTTGATCTTATTAAACTAAATATTGATAAACTAGCTTTTCCCGTGCGGGGTTTCATTCTCATAAAATTATAAAAACTTGACAAATGTAAACAATTTACATTTGTCAAATTCTTAATTGCATTACTTAAATTAATTACCGTTACCATATTAACCTTGATATCTTAATGTTGGCAGCTTGTGGTTTATGGTCCCTTTCCAACATGATGATTTTTCCAATTTATTTGCCCCTTAGATTAATAGCGTGAAAATCTATAGCCTAAAGCGTGTCGTAAGTGTAGGGCTTTCTATTAAAGAAAGAATTATTCAAAAAATATGCTTTGAATGCTGACATCCTACGGCACAAAGTAGTGTGTGTTTACGCTTTCTTTAATAAAAAAAACCTACACTTTAGGCTATAGATTTTCACGCTATTTAACTTAGGGGATAGAAAAATCGGTAAAAACCCTTGTATGGAAAAGTATCCATAAACTACAAACTGCCAAAATGAAAGAAGTAAGGTTATAATGGTAACGGTAATTTAGACATTTGCAATTGAGAATTTGACAAATGTAAACAGTAAAATATATTTTTTTGATGAAGCTGTTGAATAGCTATTCTTAAATTATCTAGAGATTGTATGTTTTATAAGTTGATTGAATTAAATAACGTTTTGAATTTCAGGTATGAGTATTGTAGTGGGAATTGTTTTCGTGATCGGGACCTTTGGTTATTGGGGTTTTGGTGAACATTCCAAGTCTCCTGTTACACTTAACTTTCCATTCACAACGTAAGTAAACTTAACTAGTCACCAAATCATCTTGCTGATGTTACATTGTTCGGTGTAGCGATGTCAGACAATTCGGTGCTTTCACTTGTGTGTGTTCTGTGTAGAAGTTGATGGCTAACAGTGGAGCTCGCTTCAACATTGCATTGCAGAATACCACGACCACAGAAGCAAGGCGTGAAATGGGAGCATTTCCGTACAGTCTGATGAGTGTGGTGTCGGAGGCCTAATTTTAGTCCATTTCCTTTCCCACCATTTTCTTATATGGAATTTGACGGTATAGGAGAGTCATAGGAAAGGAAAATATCCTCTTTATGTGCGTCTCCTCCATTGATTATACATATATATATATATATATATATATATTAGGTACTGTAGTTTTTAATATTAGTAAGACTAAGATTTCCAAGACTGTTGTGTTTTTTCTTGTTTTTTTTAAACTTGTATCCTTTCAGGTTCTCCATTACTCTCAAAGTGTTTATGGCTATAATTATATATGTGACCTTTGCCCTCAACTTTTGGGTACCGTTTAATTTAGTCTGGTTCTACATTAAGAAGAAATATCCCCCAGTAAAGTACTGGTTCTGGGAACGAGTGTACAGAGCATCGTTTATTGTAGTGATCACGCTGATTGCGTTTACTTTCCCCAATGTGTCATCTTTTATTGGATTGGTAAGTCGATTTGATACTGGCTATCGCGAATGTCCGTGTGGAATTAAAAAAACTTAGTAACCTATGTGGCATACTCAATGTGCCAAATTTCATTGAGATTCGTTAAGCAGTTTAGGCAGTAAACGCTAACATCCATCTAAACGTTCGTATGTGTATAAATAAGATTGACTATTAAGTGATTGATTAGATCGTCTAGGTTCGATCCCTGTAACGTGCGGAAATCTGCGAAGTTCCTTTCAAGGAAATTGTCTTGTCCCTTGCAATTAGACACAACTTTGCCTCTTCTTACAAATAATTTCTTAGTTAACAGTGAGTTATGTGATAGGACAATAAAAATGAATTGTTGGAATGACCCAGCTTTTTATGTACAGATATATTCAACACGTTTATTTCAAACGTTCAAGGTTATACGTTTAATGTTCACGGCCAAATTCCCTGACTGTACATTTACGATGTTTTTATAATCTCGCGTCAAAAACCTTTTTATCTTTCAAAATCTATGGATGTTATGAAACGAATGTAAATCGATTGTTCATTAAAAATTCGGACAACCGTATCGATTTGTATTAATCGATTTAAATAGGTCACTTTGACCGAGAATGTTTTCTTTTCTTGCTTTCCTAGTTTTTAATAAGTTTAAAATGTTTTTCAGCTCGGTTCGTTCTGCTTATCGAATATGGGCTTTATTTACCCGGCTCTTATTGAACTATGTTTAGATTGGGATTATCCAGGTCTGGGCTTTATGAAATGGCGATTACTCAAATGCGTTTTGATATGTATTTTTGGCACATTTCTCGGCGTCTTTGGTACATACACGAATGCTAAAGAATTAATACGTCAATCTTTTTAATGTCATCTTTTCTAAATATTGGTGTAATATTTATGTAATAAAATCAAAACATGGATAGTTTATATCCATTTTTAAAAGAATTCCGAAAAGGAGTTTTTTAATCCGTGATACACGGTTTTATTTTTTTTTTATACGAAAGGTAGTGCTTGTTCTATTTAAATTTTTGATACTGTCAGTTTAATATTCATGAAGCAATGCCACACAAGCGTTTGCGTTATCGTAGCTACAACGGAGCGATTATTGCCTCGTTTTATACAAATGATTAAGACTGACAGATAAAAAAAAGTTTAATGCGATTTTCGTTACCACAACTCAAATACATTACCTTCATGAAATCTGAAATTTTTCTTATATTACAAAAAGACACTCCAATTTTATTACATGTATAGACAATGTGATAAACATTACACAAAGATGAAAGATCGGATTTTGGCGGTTAATGAAAGTTTAATGAAAACAAAGAGAATATTATTATATTTTATAAATATACTATAATTGTTTATTAACATAAAAAAATATTAGCAATAACGTTTATCACTTATGCATACATATTATAAAAGTATATTTCTCGTATACATTATATTTTAAATAGTGTAAACTGATAAAAAGGAATTAAAAACATGCATCTAACTTGTCTTGCTTTCTTTATATGTGTAGTTTGACATTTCTTCCACTAAACATAACTGTATACACAATGTTTTCGTCCCATTACATAATAAATAAAAACAAGTAATAACACGCGTTATATTATTTTGCAATTTTCCTAAATTAAAACTAGTATACAAATTTACATGAACATAAATTAAAAACTTGACCCCTGTAATAAATTACGCGAGTTTTAAACCCCTTTCTGTTATTATAACAGCTATAACATTAAAATGAACCTATAGGCTTTATCGCAGCAATTTGACTCGTTGTGGCACACGGTTTGGCGATTCGCTCCGAAAATGTAACGTTTGTGTGGCATCTCTCTTACAACAAAAAGAAACAATAAAAGCGTGAAACGGCATTTATAGAAATGTTAAACTTTGCAAGAAATTTAGTACTTTTGGCCTATTTTTTATATTGTCTTCTATGAATGTATAGTTTCATTTTACAAATGTGACTTTAATATTACTATTTTAAATAAATGTCTAATATCAATGTTTTTGTTTCATTTATTTCTTGGGTATTTTCATCATAAAATGTCTACCGAGTGCACGAAAATGGCGGAATTCAATTGTTAACTATTTTTATATCGATTGTTATTCAAAAACACAATTTTGTCAAATATAAACATTGCAAAAATTTTCCTTAAAAATCTCGGCAATAACATTTTGATCGATGACGTCAAAAATATTTTTAATCTATGCGACTTCCTTGTTTTCGGGGTTGCAACTATGCATTTCTCAAAAATCCACTATCCCAATATTTAACAATGGAAAAATATATAAATCATTAATTTAAAAAGTATTATTTTGTAGGAAACGACAACTAAATTGTTCAAAAGACTTAAGTACATGTTTCGTTTCAAGGCAAAGCGACATTCCCTATGCTTGGACATTAAGAAAAAAAATAAATTGCTTAACAATGACTAATGGATATTTTAAATAAACGAAAAATGATTTGTTAATCATTTTCCTATAATCCTTCACTATATTTAAGAAAAACAGCCAGAAAATACTAAACTAAAATACCAGGAAAAATTATTCATATGGCAACCCTGTATAGAACCATAGAACGAATCGAAGAACAAGAATTATCGCGAAACGTAAATTATAAACCGCTTTGTTAGGTTCTATCAAAGTAAACATTATTGATTTCTTGTTTATTTTATCTCATATTTTTAATTTGGTGAATATTGACTACAAAATGGATCTACTCGACCTTCCAATTATTATAGTTGAGCATATTATCTCCCAGCTTACATACGACGAGATGGCTAAATATCGACTGGTAAGTGGATTTTATTTATAGAAATGATTTTGTAATTATTCTTTTCTAAATAACAGCACTATAGTAAATTCCGATGAATAAACACTTCTTCAAATAAAATGCACTTAAAAATTTCTTTACATAAAATATTAAATTCATTGTTTAACGCTAAATATATTTAGGCAAATATAAAATTTACTAAAACACACTATTTAAAAATTCTACATAATTAATTAATGCAGATCAAACTTATGTTTTATGACTCATAGTGGCTTGTGGTAATTTTTATAACTACTTAAAAAATGAATTTAAAACAGTTGTCAAAACATAAAGATATACTGTACAAGTATTATACAATCTAAAATGTTACTTAAAATCTTTTTTGTTTTAGTTAGGCCTTATACACATTTTTTTAGTTACATGCCCCGATTTCCCACAGGTTACATGATACATTTATTATATTCTAACTTTCGCCCATGACTCCATCGCGTTGAATAAAAAAAACAAAAGCAAGTAGACCATGTGTTCTTCCAGACTATCCTTTGCATCTATGACAATCCAAGATACATCAGTTTAGGCTACAAACATCCTTCTATCCATCTAAATTTTCATTTATATAATACAGTAGAACTTCAATAACTTAAACCAACTTAAAAACCTCTATAACTTCAAAAAATAATATGTTCCCTTTCCATCAGAGTTCAAACCTCTACAACATAGACCCTTTATAACTTAAAACCTCTATAATTTAAAATATTTTGTGTTTCCCTTGGACTTTAACTTGTTGAGATTCTGCTCTATCAAAAAAACTGCATTAAAATCCATTGCATTTAAAGAATAGCATACATAGGGATAGACAGGGGAAGGGAACTTTTTTATACTATTTTGACGTTGTTTTTATTGACTGAACAAAGTATGGAAAGTGATTAGGGAACATTTAAGAAAGGAATTCAGATGTAACAGCTGGTAGAGATGTGTGGAAGAGCAACACATTGTGCCGACCCTCTGTAGAGTCAATCTGATGACCTGGATGTTATTATTACAGGTGTGTAAAGCATTCAATGAGATATGCATGCGTAAGCTTACGAGAGGATTCCACATGATAGAAAAACGGCATGCATTGGCTTTGAAGACTGTTAAAACACAGTTACCCCGAAGAGAATCTGAACGAAGGTAAATTTTAACTTATACTATATATCTTTAGTAGCTATCACCCACGACTCTGTCCGCATGGTATTAAAAAAAACAGAACCAAGTAGCCTATGTGTTCTTTCAGACTATCCTCTACATGTATGCCAAATTTCATTGAGATCCGTTCAGCAGTTTAGGCTACAGACTCTAACAAACATTTATCCATCCATCCATCTAAACTTTCGCATTTATGATATTCGTATGGCTCAGTGGTTTAAACACTGGACTTTTAATCTACAGGTCTTGGGTTCGAATCCCGCTGTACCAATGTGATTATCAATTTTTCGAATTTTCATATGTACATAATTTACCCGACGTTCTTACGGTGAAGGAAAACATCGTGGTGCCTGCACATATCGGCGATGAAATTCAAAGATATGTGTGAAGTCAACCAACCCGCAGTGCAGGTTGACTATGGCCTAGTCACCCCTTACCCCTCGGTGGGGACATATAGGTGATGATGATGTTCTACCACAGTGACAAATTGTATTGCAACTCAACAAAAAGTCTATTAGTTCATAAAATAAATTGTGCTGATTTTAGTAAAAGGGTCAATAACCTTTGTACTTGTTAGACATTAAATTGCAACGAAAATGTTTTAAAACTGTAAAGAGGATATTTTGTATGTAACTTTACTACTGGATTGATTTAAAAAAAAAACTTTTGCTAATAAAAGCTATATTAATAAATGTAAAATTTAGTTTTATCTAGCTATCACCGGCGACTCCGTCCGCGTTAAATTAAAAATAAACAAAAGTGATGACATAGAACATATTCTATATTATAGAACACATATGTTCTTCCAGACTAGCCTCAACTATACCAAATTTTACCTAAATCCATTCAGCCGTTTAGGCTACAATCTAACAAACATCCATATAAACTTTCGCATTTATTATATTAGTAAGATTAGTTTAATAAAAGACCAAACAAACAGATTTGGCTGAATTTTTTTAATGTTTAATCCAATCTTTAGCTTGTTAGTAGCTATTCTTTGCTTCCAAATATGAAGATTCTTCGAGAGTTTACCCTTAAAAATATTTTTTATTATATTTTTAATTTCAGATATCATCCCTTAGCACGTCATTGTGATATTCTAACATCAATCGAGACAAGAATATCAATGCTAAATATGACATATTCCAAGTTTATTGACAGCGGAATGTGCTGTTTCATACCTGGAAGGGTAAGTGACTATATCCATACATACATTGTGTACTCTAACATGTATATCTAGGGGAACTAAAGAAACACTTAGTGGACTATTTGTTCTATTAGATTATATTCTTTGACAAATTTAATAGATTGTTCAACTGAGTTATTTAATAACTAGCTTTTTCCTGTGTGGATTAAAAAAAAACAAAGTAGCCTATATTTTTAGGCATTTTGTACAGAAATTCTAACAAACACCCATCTAAACTTTTTTTTATAACAAGGTGGCAAATGAGCAAGCGTCCACTAGAATCCGCCAAAATGGCGGAGCGACCGCTGCCCATAGACATTCGCAATTGCAGATGCGTTGTCTACCCTTATGCGACGGAGGAGGAGACGCACATAAAGAGGATATTTCCCCTTCCTAAGCATCTACACCGTCAAATCCACTACCCCTTCCCAACCTCTCCTTATAAGAAAAGCGTGGTAAAGAGAAAGGGACTTAAATTAGGCCTTCAGCACTACACTCATCAGAAACACGGAATTGCTTCCACTTCACGCCTGTCTTCTGTGTGGTCGTGGTATTACACCGGGCGAGCCGGCCCATCGTGCGAAGATGTTAAAGCGGGCACTACCATTAAACTTTCGCATTTATAATATTACTATGATAAACATCCATCCATATCATATATTAGTATTAAATTTATGTATAAAAAAAGTTAGGGCTTGTGTAGGGTATTGGTATTTTAAGGTAGAGAATTATTCCACAATGTTCCCCGCTAGCTTAAAATAATTGATATTAAAATTGTGTGTTGCATTTGAGGGACTCCTTTCTAGGTTATAGATGAAATTCAACGTATTCTGGAAGTAGTAGAAACTAATAAGAGTCCACCTCGAGCACACGAAGTGCTCCAAGAGTTGAGAGACATCTCGAGTATGGCGATTGAACATTTTGACGATAAAATCTCACCGGAGTTCAGGAAACGACTTCAAGATATTACTGTGACTATACCGATACCAAGACCTGTATCTGGTAAGTGTCCTGTCCTACCACCACTGGCTGATAGAGGCTCAGATAGCGTATTGCCCTTAGAGAAATAAAGATAACAAGGTCTGTCCCACCAATTTGTGAATTGATAACAATACAAAGTGTAAAATATGTGATGAAAATATCGGATTTTGTTCCCTTATCTGACAGTGACGTCATAAAGCTATCTGAGCCTCTATCAGCCAGTAGTGGGACAGGCCCTTAGTGAGCTGTTATGTTCTGAACTAATATCTATTTAAGCATTCGCATTTATATCTATACTATATACTTTATTATACTAGCTTTTGCCCGCGATTCCGCGTGGAATTATGAAAAAAATCAAAAGTAAGTAGTTTATTTATGACAAATGTCGTCAAAATCCATTCAGAAGTTTAGGCTTTACATCCATCCATCCATCTAAAGATAAAGAAACATAATAAAGCGTTAACACACTTTTTTATGTAGGATGTCGAAAATTATAGTATATTTTTGAATTTATATCTTTTTAATTAAATTCTCTACACTTAATATATGTTATAGGCTATATATTTTCACGTTATTTAATTTAGGGGGTAAGTTAATTTAAAAAAGTATTATACCAAAAAGGGACAAACACTACAAGCCAATTTTACTAAGATTGCTTTGGTCGCAGTAATTTTTAGCCAATAGCAAATGTTTTTGACATTTGTGTATTCGAATTTTTTTTAACTATACTATTATAATAAAGCGTAAACACACACTTCTTTGTTGCCTAAGATGTCAGCAATTTCAGCATATCTTTGAATAATTCTTTTTTTAATAAAAAGCCCTACACTTACGTCACGCTTTAGACTATATATTTTAACACCATTAAACTTAGGGGGTAAATATTTTAGATAAAAACCCTAATGCGGGAAAGAGACCATAAGTTGCTGCCAACATTAAGGAAGCATGGTTGTCATCATGTCATTTTGACATTTGTAATCGATTTGACAAATGTAAACAATAAAATAAAATTTTCATAATTTAATGCGGATGAAGTCTCACGGGAACAGCTAGTATGTCAATAAAAAAAACCGTCGCTTTTACCTTTTAGTGGCCACAATACAAGAGCATAATACAGCATCGCGACAAGAATTTATCCATTTACGACAAATGTCGACGGCGAACGCTAAGCTATCGCTTTTTATGTCGTCGCAGTACAAAATGTTTTATAAACGGGTGAGTTATCTATCTATACTATTATAATAAAGTGCTTGTTCTTTACCTAACTAAATTTACCTAACCAGTTAGGTAACAAGATTTTTTTTCCGTTTTCGTCACTTAATCAATCAATAGTTAATAAGAATTTCAGTTGAGTTCGATAATTATTTAAACCGAATATCGATAGTCCATAATAGGCAATATGCATATGACGCCAAATTGTACCAAACTTTTTTTAAGTATACTTTATTACTATAAAAACAGTCCTGCAAAGATTTTTTTTAAAATATAATGTGATTTAGTGGCAAAATTTAATCATTAAAAAGTGTCTTTTTTCAAATTCCATCGCTAAGTTCTAAAACGCACACTATTGGTCGAAGCAAGTGGCTTATCTAATATGGCGTCGCTGTGTTGACAATACACAGTTCATTTACGTTAGTTTATATATAAATACACTCTTGAAGTATTTTACTGTAAACACGGTATCAAAACCAACTTTAAAATAAAAAATTAATGAATAGAATTATTAATTACCACTTATTTGTACCAGGAATAAAAAATAATAATCGATTTTTGACTTTTTGACCTTGAGAAACTTTGTTGTGTTTTACGTCGAAGTGACATCTGAACTTATGTTATGAATGGAATAAGACGATTGACGTCAATTGTCTCATGACAACTCCGGTCGCGTTTTAGTCGCTCGAAAATGGTCGTAATTTTATTTTATTATTTTTAGCTCAATGGTTGAATATTTTCGCGTGAGTTTTTTTTTGTGGTCATTTTATAACAAGTAGAATCGTTTTAAAAAAAATACATGCATATTCCCCATTGTTCGCTGCGTGTTTCGTCACTACGGTACCTGTCTATTAAGTACGGCATTTGCCTTCATACAAATTGAATTCGATACTTCATATGTGTCATCAAACTAATCTATCTTATTTAGACAAACTATATTTAAATGGCTTTGTAATATTAGTTATTATATTCTAGATAATGTTATATAAACGCATAGCGCTGCGACACAAGAAGACTATCAGAGAACTCACTAAACGGCAACGAGAACAAGATGCGGCCATTTGTAAGCTTTTATTAATAGTTAAATATACTCCGTTTCCTAATAAATAGTAATAATTAATATATCCAATAACACTTAGTGATAATTTAGCTTTCTAATGGTGAAAGAATTTTTAAAATCTGTCCAGTAGTTTTTGAGTTTATGCGTTACAAAGATATATTTTCTTTTATTATAGTTTAAAACATTCACAGATAATGTATTGATTTCCTTTCTATATTTAAGTATTGAATCTCTTTAATGTGGGTAGTTTTTAATCCTTTTAAATATGTTTTTTTTTAATTCTTTTGTTAAGGTTAACAAATTATTAATGTTTTATTGATAGGGGAGACTTAAATAGGGAAAATATTCATTCTGTGAGACCTCTTAATTAAAGGGCGACGCTTGAAATTGCGGAAGTGGTCAACGTTTCGCTGTTTTGGCGAATTATAGCCAATGTAAAATCAATAATAGAATCGGTCTAGGAAATACTAGTCGTAGGATCTAAAATGTTACTTTCTTGTCCGTTTTTTTCATTTTTTTAATATTTTTTTTTTTCAGGTGAGTTAAAAAAACGTTTAGATGAATGTGATATAAAATATAATGAAATAACTCATACAAACCAGGCTGTTGGGGGAAAAGCTATTGCTGGTAAGAAAAATAACTTGGTACACGAAAGTTGGGATTTTTTTGAGTTTTTTAACTTTTTTTTGATGATTTTTTTTAAAAGTTACTAAATAATCGTGCAGTTGAATGTAATAATGCGATATTCTTGTAAATAAACTTGTAAATTAGCAAAAAAAATAAAAAATCACAAGTAAAATAATCAAATATATTTTTTGTATTGAAATTATTTTTGTACTACATTCGTGTACCGAGTTTTAAAAATTTTAATTATTTGGTCTATGAAAAATTTTTTTTATTATTTTTTTAATTCGCAAATGCAACAAAAAATGTATTAAAAAGGAAGATATGAATTTGGTATAATGCAATTTTATAATTTTTTATATATATCAAGATGATTTCCTTTTATTCTTATTTTTAATTACTGAAAATTATATATTTTTTTTGTGTTTTTTCAGAATCTAAAGTAACTGGAGTATCAAAATCTCAGTCTTTAAGACATTTTGGAAGTCAAATTAAACTTGACCTCTCTTTACTGCCGATTGGAAACTCCAAACTTAACCAGAAATGTAAGTAACAGTGGAAACCGACCTTTAACATCTCCAATAATTATTATAAGCATCGGTTATTAACATAGAAAAATCATTTATACCACAGAACGCAAAAAAAAAATATTTTTTACCTTAACAAAGAGGGTTAATGTTCTTTGTGTGTTTGTATGTAAATTTCTATTGTAATAGCTTATAGCTTAAAATATGCAACCGATTTTGACAAATAAGGTGTCATACGATTGGTCTTCTTCTCAAGAGTGTCATAGGGTGTCATATGTTAACACAAAATATTTACAATTGACGTGAGAATCAAAAATCTAAAGACATTATGAAAAAATCTATTGCAATTCGCACTGACCACTATTTTATTCTATTATTCAGTCAAGTATGTCCTTTTTTAAATTAAAGTTATTTTAAGTTAATTTTAAGTACTAACCTAAGCTAGATTTACATACCATTAATGATTTCAAAGTTATTTTAAGAGAAACTTAAATACTTTTCTTACTTTCCAGTACTTCCTAATATAAAACCTCGTAAAGCACAAGTCAAACTCCCTACATTTGATGACAGTGACAGTAAAGAGAGCCATGTCCCCTCCCCTTCCGTCCCCTCCCCTTCCACCTGCGGCAGCAGCGGCACGAGGACCAGGGCGCAGATGAGAGGCTTAGCATATGAAATAACAGCGTTAAGTAATAATTTATCCAAAAGCTTGGAAAATAAAACAAAGAGAACAATATATCGTCAAGATAATGGAGAAGCTAAAAGGCAGAGATTCGAATGAAATAATTCAAGTTTTGAAATGCAAACTAGATGGCGTTGTCACTAGAGTTTCAATTTGTACTTCGCTAGATGGCGTTGTTACTAAATTGTAATGTTTGTACCGATAGATGGCGTTGTCACTAATTGGAAGGAAACTTGTCACTAATTTTAAAGCAATAAATGTTGTCATTAATATTAGAAAAAATTGATAGATGGCGTTGTTTTAAATATTAAAATCTCTTGCTTAGTTTAAAATTTTGTCGGTTGTGTTATAATTGTGAGTAAACTGTTTATGTAAGGTATATGAAGTTAAGATATCTTTTAACTTAAGTAGTTTCTGTAATAATTATTTGTGTGGCGATGTTAGTTTTTTTAATATAAATATCACGCGGTCGTTCATTTTTTTAACTTTTTAATAGTGTTTATTTAATTATGCCAGTCACAAAATCAATACTCTTTATTGAACGTGTTATAAAAAATTAGTTTCACCAATAGATGGCGTTGTAGCAAAATGATAAATTTTCTGACTACCGTCAAAATTTAAGTTCTATAATTTTATGAAATAGGTTTCTTACATTTTTGTATTTTATACATCTTTTGGCTTTGACCAAATTTATATATTCGCTAACTTTCAATAAAAATTTCATCTACCCACATTTTTAGGGTATTTTATTAGAAATAGTTTTATAAAATGAATATTATTGTAGTGTTATTTAGATCTCTTCTAATAAAAAGCTTATTCTATAGTGCCAAAATAAATTGGACTTTTTAAGCTAGTTTCGGTTATGTTATAATAAAGTGACACTAAAAAAATATTTAAATAAAAGTCATAATCATATAAAAGTTTGCTTTTTTAATTTAGAAACTAAAAGACATAAAAACTATATTATTTTATTATAATTTAGATGTTAATACTAAATATTTTTTATTAAAAAACGTATGGTATAAAAATATTACTAGCTTTATTCTGTCTACTGCCGTTATATTTAAAATTGTGCTTAAAAACAATGACTTATCCTCATGTCTGTAATATCAAAAGGAAAATTCCAGATTTTACCAACATGATGTATTTGCGTTATTATAGGCTATTTTTTTATTTTAATATAGCGTGGACGGAGTCACGAGCAACAGCTAGTGGAATATATATCCGATTTCCAATATAAGTGTTTTTCGATAACAAAACAATCATAACATACTAGTTGTTATAATGCGACTTCATCCGTATAATTATGAAAATTATATTTTATTGTTTACATGTGTCAAATTGTCAATTGCAAATGTCAAAATGACATGACGAAACTTGGCACTTGGCAATCTTGCTTCCTTGATGTTGGCAGCAACTTATGGTATCTTTCCCACATTAGGGTTTTTATCCAAAATATTTACCCCTATGTTTAATGGCGTGAAAATATATAGCCTAAAGTGTGACGTAAGTGTAGGGCTTTTTATGAAATAAAGGATTATTCAAAAATATGCTGTAATTGCTGACATCTTAGGCAACAAAGAAGTGTGTGTTTACGTTTTATTATAATAGTATAGATAAATAAGTATATACTTATACTTATATAAGTATAGATAGCTTATCTTCCCGAAATCTGGCATTTTTCTTTTTATATTACACACAGACATCACAATTTTATATGTATAGATTCTCTTTTAGCTATTTGTGATTATCCTACATGCTGTTGCATTGTATATAATTATTTTTAGGTTAAGTATTAGAGCCTATCCCACCACTGGCTGATAGAGGCTCAGATAGCTAAATGACGTCATTGTCAGATAAGGTAACAAAATCCGATATTTCCATCACATTGAGACAATTACAATTTGGTGGGACAGGCCCTAAGTTTATTAATGGTGTATATTTAATAAATTGTCTTTTATTCGTTGTTCCTTTTGTTTTTAACCCTGTATTTACTTACTGTATCTGAAACTTGGAATTACCCGAAATTTGAAAGCAAAAATATTAAAGTTTGATTTAAAAATTAAACAAAAATCGTTTAAAAATATTTATTAGTTAACATAGCTAATTCGTACAAAATAAATTACAAATTATATTTACAATCATGTTAAAATTACTTATAAAAATGGAGGTTATTAAAAAAACATTTCTGAACCGAAATCTTATATTTCTCATTCGGTTACATACTTTTTATGGTCAAAATGACCATAAGTAATTTAAGGTACATCTTATTTAATATCACTGAAATATGTCTATTACAAATATTGTCACTAAACAAAATGATTGCACTTCCCCCAGAGAAAAAGTTTGGTCTACAAGAAATAATAATTTTAACCAGTAAAGTTTTCACACAGTAATTTACAGTTCCGAGTCTAAACATACTTTTACTGAGAAAAATATACTATGCTTTTGTTTCTCCATCAAAAATACTAAACAACTAGAAAAAATATAGCCTATGTTCCTCACAGATAAATTACCTTTCTAACAGTGAATGAATTTTCAAAATCGGCCCAGTAGTTTTTGAGTTATTTCAATACGTACAAAAAGACAAATTTTTCATTGTAATATAGTATAGATAAAAAAGATTACTATAATCTGTAATAAATGAACTGACTTATTTCTAACTTTCCAATCGTTAACTTGAGCAAATAGAAAGTGTAAGAAATCTCGTTTAACATTGTAATTGACGCAAAACCAACCTATTACATATACGTGAAATATCACAAGTAATCACGTACTTACAACAAATAACTTACATTTATGTAATGCAACATAAGTGAAAATAATGACATCTAAAGCACACATAAAACTTTCTAACGTTTCTCCTTGAATGGCGGGAAATTTGACAGCATGACAGTGTATATATTTACGCGGTAAAATCAACGGACGCCATTTTGACTTCAAACTTCAGTTGAAACGTTCCGTTCTTCGTAAAATTAATTTAATTATTGTGAATGAGTATTTTTATAAATATTTAATTATTATTTACATTGTATCTCTAAAATTAATTATAAGATAATTTTATTTAATTATATTTTTATTTAGTGTTAAAACTGATTTACATCAAATAAATATTTTAAATGTTGTTTTTTTCATTTACATTCCTATAAAAATGAACACAACGCATTATTTATTTCTGTTATTATTCTTTAACTATAGTAATTTACAAGTTTTACGCAACATAATTTTTTTATTGCCATTTCAAGACATAATTACGTTAAAATGTGACCACATTGCTTGCTAACTACAACTAGATTCCACTGCACAAGGGTAAGTAAGCGTGGAACGGTTTGTAATTGTTACTCGGTTACAAATGATACTTTTAATCGATTATTACGAGTCGTAACCTCGTAGTATACAAATCTGGAAATACGAAACCCTCCAAATATTGTTAAAGATTGGTACATACTGCAGTAATAATTTACAATTTTAGACACACTTTATTTTCTACCATCGTAAGTAATATCTGCATGAAATCCTTCAGGACCTGCTGAATAGATTACATTCTGCATTCTCCCGTCAGGTAGAAGAACGTGATATTGTCCATTCGTCTCTTCTCCTTTCTTCTCTTCTTGGTGACCGAAGTTATTTCCGCTGTGCATGTCATGTACTCTGTAACCGAACTCGTAGCTTGATGCGTAGTTAAACTGAAAAAAGAAACAATTTTAGGTTATGAATATTGCTTCTTACTAATATTATACGTGCGAAAGTTTAGATGGATTGATAGATCTGTTGCTTGTAGCCTAAACGGCTGAACGGATCTCAGTGAAATTTGGATTGCATGGAAGAAAACGTGCCTACTTTTTGTAAAAACCACGCGGAGGGAGTCGCGAGAGAAAGCTAGTATTTATATAAATAACAACTTTTGGTTGGTTTGAAGTCTTGCAATATTTTTAAAGCAACCGCATGTAATGTAAAAAAAAACAGAAGAAAAAAAATAATAAAAAGGCAAAAGTAAGCAGCGATTCTTTTCTCATAACGTGCTAAACTTTTACTCCTTAATTTATGTAATTTAACGTGCTACTTATATGCAACATACTTATTTTTGTGAATTATATAATGTTATATAATATTCTATTTTATTTTATTTACACATGTATCCAATTCTGTGTCTAATAAAGAAATATATATAATTGTGTTTGGTTTCTTATATAACAAAATAAAAGCATTGGTAAGAATAGGCTACAAGGCAAAGTATTTTGTGCTTGTTTGGTTTCCGCCATCTTGGCGCTGATGGTCTCTATTTTTAGCGGTGGAACTAATATAGATTAAAAATATTATATTCAGGCATTTAAGTATAGATATAAAGCTATGTTTACCAAACAAACAACTAGTATATGGTAGATAGAAATCGTTGAATGAAAGACAATATTTAGGTGGATTTTTTAATAAACATTTAGATCTAAAAATAATTTAAAAATTATACATTACAAGTAAATAACTGACGTAATTGTCTTAAGTGTAGTTAAATAAGATGCAACTTATGTAATTTCAATAGATTATTCCTAATATCTCTATTATGAGGCCTTTTCTTGTATTTCCTGGGATGGTTTTGTTTATTTTTTGACAGTTGGAATACATCTAAGTGTTCTATATTCAAATTATGATGACCAACTAGTTTTGATAGTTGAGATTGTGTTAATAAATAAATTGGTTCGCGGAAATGTTGTAATGTTGGGAAATTAAATTTAGTTTGAGGTTGTGTGTATGGAATACCATAATTTTGTTGAATGTATGGTGCAAATGCTAAATTATTTGAACTGTAAATAGGTTCTATGGTTGTAGATATATCAGGGAATCGTTTGAAAGGTCTGTAATTTCCGTAATTACTTTTTAAATCTATTTGACTGTATGTTTCTGATGGTGCATACGTTTGGAAATCAAATTTATGTCGTTGTATTGGTTCTTTTTCTGTTTCAAAATAATCAATTGAATCGTAATCTTGATCGTATTCTGGTATACCGTAATTAGGATTAGGCCTTCTTGATTCTTGATAATCATTGTAATCAATAGCCTCTCCAATAGGGAATTTCGGTGTAGTTAAAAATGTACCGAAATTTTCACGTTTTCTTTGAGAATTTAAATTGATTCTTATAAGAGATTCATGTTTAGGTAATTCTGTAGTGTTAGAGTTTGAATCTTCTATTATTTTACTGTTTGTTTCGTTATATAAAAGGAATGGGCTTGTATCTAAAACTGATCTTTCATGTCTAATATTTTGTATATTCATACTTACATTGTCAAATATTTCACCGCCATCTTTGTTGAAATGTACACCTTTGTTACGCTGCAAATATCTTTGTAAATCTGTTATATCTGTATTTTGATTGAATTCTGGTACATAATTTAATGCTTTATGTTCTTTTATTTTATATTCTTGATGTAAAGGATTATATATTGCATTAAATATGTGATTTAATTCTGTGTTGTATTGTAATTTTTTTGTTTCTAGTTCCATATTTCTTTGTTGTAGATTAGGGTCGTCTGATTCGTTTTCTTTCATTGGTATATATTTATAAGTTTCTTGTATTATTGGTATTTGAGCATATCTGGTATGTTCTGGTAAGGGGTTTTTAGTTGTTCCTTTTATATGAAAATATAAATCAATAGGTCTTTCTAATTCTTTGTCATGGTTAATATTGATTTTTGGATTGTTTATTAAAGCATTGAATTCAGTTAATTGTTGGTTAGGGTTTTTATTTAATAATGAATTAAGTGTTTCTATATCTTGTACTGGGTATCTCTGAGATGGATTCTCTTGGTATCTATTACTTGTTTCTGCCATTTCGTTGATTGTGTTTGGTTTTATTTGTTCATTTATTACGTAAGTATTTTCAGTGCCGTATGATCTGTGTTTCCTTCTCCTTTCATGTTTCTCTTTTAATACATCATTCTCTTTTGTTTTCATAGAATCTAAATCATCGTTTAATTCTGCTTGTGCTCTTTCTATCGCTAATTGATGGTTTTCTTGAGATTCTTGTGTTAACATATAATTGTGTACTCGTGGCGTTTTAAGCCATTTTTGTTGCTGTTGTAATTGCGCTTTGTGTTGTCGTATCCTTTCAGCGTTGAACATTGCTTGTTGGTTATGTGCGTGTAGTTTAGCATTCTGTTGTGAGTTACCAGCTAAAGGGTTGCCATAAGGTAAGTTGGCGACAGCACTTGTTTTGATTAATCTCTCGTCTGATTTGGTTTGTTCGTTTATTACTTCGTATACTGGTCTTGAATTTGTTTTAATTGCTAATGCTAGTTGTATTACTGGTAGAATTGTTACAAGTATTTTTATGTAACTTAAATGCGCCATTTTATCTGAAAAAGACAAAAACATCTGTTAAATATATACATAGAGAAGTGTTTTAACGTAGTATTTGTTGAGTAATTAGTCGTAATTATTATTATATTCAATTGAATAATTTAATTTAAAATCCTTTTAGTAGTTTTCCTTGTGATACGGAAATTAAAAACAAGTGAAAGTAAAGTAAGAGAAAGCCTGCAAAATGTTGCAGTTAAGTTATGTTGTTAACTTTACGGAAATGCTGATAAAATATATCTTCAGTACGATAAAAATTTAAAAGAAAGTGATATTCGATATAACTTAAAAGAGGAATAGTTATACATATATCAAGCACAAGTCGAAATTCGGCAATAGTTTTTAATACTTCATGCTGAAGACTAGCTGTTGCCCGCGACTTTGTCCACGCAATACTAACATAAAAAAGTAGCCTATATGCCCGTCAATATCAGCTACCTTTTAGTGAAAATCCGGTCAAAATCGGCCCAGCCGTTTTGGAGATTGCCCGGTACAAACGGCTTGCGGACAGACAGACAAAAAAAAATGCGATTTTCGTTATCAGCAACGCATCATTATCTTCCTGCAATCCGAAATTTTTCTCTAGATATTACAAATAGACACTCCAATTTTATTATATGTATAGACTAGCTTTATGTACCTTTCCACGTTAGCTTTAATTGTAAACACATGTCGTTTGCGCGATTTTCTTAAAACAGAATCAATAAAAAGTTTTGGATTATAATTGGACGTAATACTATTATAATAAAGCGTAAACACACACTTCTTTGTTGTCTAAGATGTTAGCAATTACACAATATTTTCGAATATTTTTTTTAATAAAAAGCCCTACACTTACGTCACGTTTTAGACTATATATTAACGCCATTGAACTTAGGGAGTAAATATTTTGAATAAAAACACTAATATGGGAAAGAGAGCATTAGTTGCTGCCAACATCAAGGAAGCAAGGTTGTCATCATGTCATGCCATTTTGACATCTGTAATTGATAATTTGACAAATGTAAACAATAAAATAAAATTTTCATAATTTCATGCGGATGAAGTCGCACGGGAACATCTAGTTAGTAAATAATTTAGATTAGTCCGTAAAATTATGCCTCTAATAAAATCATGTCTTTTACATAAATTAGAATATATTATAATAAACCTTCGCAATTTGTCGTCTTTAGAGGATATTGCGACGGAAATGTATTTATATGTTTATTTATCTTAAACCAGTTTTTTATTTCGTTATCTGTAGATACAAGGTTATATTGTGACAGATGGAAAGATAGATGTTATAGTGTGTCTAGATAATTTAAATAAGTTTGACAATTCATTTCAAATTTAGTAGGGATGGTTTGTGTAAAATCAGTCATGAATCTTATCGATTTTCGATTTTTATTCTAATAGAAATTGGAATCGATAGATTTGTAGTTATTAATATGAATTAAAAAAAAACTACTGTTTTCTCAAATTAATAATGACTAGCTATAACAAATAATGAGAGTAAATAAATGTTTATTAGTACTACAGCCGTACGTAATAGTATTGGATTTCGCTAATATTTATGTCATCGCTAAATTCTTTACAATGTAATCACATACAGACACAATATAATTATAAATGCGAAAGATTAGATGGATGTTTATTAGTTGGTAGCCTAAACTGCTCGAATCTCGACGAAAGGTTTAGATGTAGTCTGGTAGAATACATAGGCCTTGTTTTCATTTTTAAATTCCACGCGGACGTAGTTACGAGCGAAAGCTAGTTTACTTATAAATACAACTCTAGGTTTAACAGTTCTGTACAGTTGTCTATAGATAAGTCGCATTTTATGATGAATTTAATGAATTACATATTTGTTTTAATTAAAAAGGTTTAAAAATTACAATGCAATATTGTTCATCTTTCTTTACAAGTTTGAACTTTGTCTTTTCCTCGGAAAAAAAAAACTTTGTAAGTAGCCTGTGTTCTGTGACAAATTACATCGAGGTGTTATTTCGTAGATATGTAGTAAACATACATCCATCCAAACTTTCGCATTTATAATATTAACTAGTATGATAATTCATGTCACTCTATTCAACGTCATATATCGCACTTTTTGGCACGTATAGGATTTGATTTATGATCATCGGGTCAAATATATTGTCGGTCAGTACATATACTACATGTACATATACGGTCGGTACAGTTACTTTAAGAGCACGTACACCTTTGACTGAACTATCGCACAAATGTTTAGTCGCTTTGGTTCCTATGACCTATACCGAGGTGCACACTACTTGATTTTTAGTTGTGCAAAACAGTTGAAGGCTGCGAAACAATCGACAATCGCACAACGGTTGTGCGATAATTTAGTCAAAGGTGTATGCGCTTAACTTTCACAGGTGTTGAGGCTATCTACTGAAGTGTACGACAAAATTATGGTCATAATTTTAATGAAGCTATTGACCGTGCGGTATTGTTACGTAACAAAACAATTTTGCGGTACACTCGAGGACAAAAGTTTTATCTCAAAATTATCGTACTGGTATTTCTTAATAACATAAATGACAAAGTTTAGATGATTTTTGGATATGTCTCGATGAAATTTGCCACAGACTTGAAGAACATATAGGCTATATTTTTATTTAATGCGTATAAAGTCGTGGGCACAAACTAGTTTAGTGTAAAACCAACTTGTTATTTCATTCTAAATAACTAGGTATAATTTTTTAACCTAAGTGTAATCGAGTACATAATTGAAAAAGACCATATTTACTATAAAATTACACGGCGATTACACTTGTTTTTAAAACAAATAAGTCACTTGTAATAAAGTCATGATTTTTTTTACAATACAAAAAGGTTAACATTTTTGTCCCCGAGTGTACAAGCCCCGCGACCATGAAGTACACTTTCACTCAACATACGCAACTTGTTCCGTTCTTACATCCGATGACCGTGCTAAAATAATTACAATCTTGCTGTCACGTGACTCCGTCTATGAAAATAAAAAGTCTATGTTACTCACTGATAACGTAGCTTTTTAACGGTGAAAGAATTTTTGAAATCGGCCCAGTAGTTTTTGAGTTATTTCAATAAATACAAAAATACAAATCTTTCCTCTTTATAATATTAGTAAAGAGTAGCCGTCCCGTGTCTTCGTCCGCGCGTAATTAAAAAAGTAACTAGCTTACAAAAGATTTAGCCTATGCGTTCCTCTAGACTATGCACTACATTTGTGACATATTTCATCGAGATCCGTTTAGCAGTTTAGGCAAACTCAAACAAACATCCATCTAAACTTTCGCATTTATAATATTAGTGAGACATTATTTTAACTTTGATTACAAAAGTTAATTCTTAAAAGTCGTAAATAAATAATTATGAAATGTCCTTAAACTGTACAAAAATGGACATTTGTTTTAAAATATTTAAATAAAAAAACCGGTTACCAAATTGCAACATTTTAAACACAAGGTCGTTTATAAATAAGCTGAACCCAAATATGTACTAACATAAAATAAACCAGAATTTTAGTAATAAATAAATATCATCTTTATGTGTATCTCCTCCGTAGATTGAGGGTAGGCAACATCGTCTTTTCTTCTTCGTCGACGAATTAAGGTAGGGTGGGCTCGCGTGGGGTAAGCCAGCCCATTCGTGTTGTTAAAGTGGGCTTCCACTGTAAACCATTATCTTTGAAAAGACAAAACATTAATAAACAAAACAAATACAGCCTTACAAATAAACGCAGTATAAAGTTAAACTTAGGAATACACTGTAAAATTTGTCCTAATATTTGCTTATACTCAGTTTATTCCTAAGTTTCACTTTATTTCTAAGGCTGATTATGTTTTTTTAAATGTAATTATATTATACTGTTTATTTTTAAACAACCAATTAAAAAGATCTGACAGATATAATGTAACAAGCCTTGAAAACTAACAATGTTTATTATCTTTTTATTGCCTACGAAAGATAATTAGCACGTAATAGTATAACCTTGAAAGTTCACAATGCGTTTGTACAATGTCTTCCAAACAGTCACACGGTGACTTTCAAAACGTGTACGTGCACACAGTTGACTAAACTATCGCACAACTGTTGTCTCGCTTTGATTCCTATGAGCTTAAATAAAGCGATACTACTCGATTTTTAGTTGTGAAAAACAGTTGAAGACTGCGAAACAAACGACACTCAATTTAGTCAAAGGTGTGCGACCGCTGTTACTAAACAAAGGAAGGGAATAGAAAGTCCATTCCTTGGTAAGGATGAAAAGTGGAAGAGGATGTGGCGCCGGCACACTCATCTAATGAAATGCAGAATTACTCCCACTTCTCATGTCTTCTGTGTGGTATATTTGCGGGTTTCACTTACGTTAAATTTATTTACCCTAATTTTTGACTTAGCGTAAACAATTTTAACGTAAGTTATTTGTTACTTAAACAATGTTTCAATGCTTTGCAATTGCGTGCAAATGCAAATTAACCAGCCAGTTAAGTTACAAAATGATAGGGCAATACACGAACTTTAATGTTGCTATACGATACACGCGATTGGCAGTAAATAGTCGGGGAATTTGGCGGTGTTCCACTTTGAAAGCAAAATTCGATTGAACATTTTAAAACGAGACGCGGAACGAAAATAAAATAAAGCTAATAAATGTGTTTAAAATAATCGGTTAATGAAACACGGCTAGTTTATTTTTATTATTATCCCTTTGCATTTACTGTTATCTAATTAGTTCAGAGGCGGAATTACCCAACCATCACCCCGCTGTCATCACCATCTGTCCCCACGAGAGAATGAAAAGTTTCATCCGTCCCATCTTTTAGTCCCACTATCACCAATAAGGTGACAGATAGAACCGTTATGAAATAAAATTAGTTCCAACCGTCCCCTCGTCGCAAAAGGTGGGACGAATGAAACTTTATTCCAATCTGTGCCCACGTGGGGACAAAGCGAGGCCTCGGTTGGGAATA